TCGATCCCAGCCATTAACTAGGAAATTGTTATTGCAATTTAAAATGCTGAATTAGAATAGTATGAAAACCTGCATTTATAGGTGAAAAAAATATTTTAAGACATGAAATCCGTTAAAATATATACATTATACACACACACACACACATATATATATATATATATATATATATATATATATATATATATATATATATATATATATATATATATATATATATATATATAACATATATACAATATATACATATACATACATAACAACTTTAGGGCAATGCGGCGGATTCTTGCTGCCCAAGAAAGCTTCTTTTTAAAAGAGAAAAAGTCTGAGTCAGGTGGAAGTTAGTGTGACGGATATAGGCTGGACTTACTTTCATTAATTAGGTACATATGCAGCTATGTTTTTTTTTAAAGTGAACAGACAAACGAACTTAAAGTCCACCAGACGGTAAATGGCTAGTGCAGTCTGTGCACACCTGCGGCCAACTTCAAACAAAGGAGGCTACAGAGCGTGGTCATCTCTGAGCAGTAAGTTGGAATGCCACACAGCCTGTAATTATACTGGGTCGATATAACCTTCAGAATTGAACACAGCAGTACATGTACTACTGTTTGGTAGCAAAAAGAGAGTGGTGCCTACCCAGATGGCCCCTTTCTTCGTTCTTCTACTACCTAGTAAATGTAAGAGTACGATTCACGTCAATATGATTTCCACCCAATTAAGATTACGTTCCCGAAATAGTCATTTTCGTAAAATTGCTATTGCCTTCATTAGATTTATAGTATGTACTAGGGTCATGTTACTCAACGTTTTTCGTTTTTTAAATAGTAATTTTGCAGAACATCCACTGCGAATTTGTGATCTTATCTATATGTATATATATATATATATATATATATATATATATATATATATATATATTGAAAGTTTATCTCGGCCATTAAGCAGTAGTACGACTGTTGTGTTTCTGTTTCTATATTAGATTATTATATTACTATTTTAGTTCAGTTTTTTCGACAGGGCTGATAAAACATCTGTAGCCTTCTGAAGATCACGAACACGCACTAAGAAGTACTAACGACCTGTGCCCAGTTGTCGGACTTATAAATGCTGCAACTTTACTTTTAGGAGATGGATTTATAGCTCGTTTGTCTGCTTTAGTAATGAAAATGTCAGCCTCGAGCACAGGCGAAAAGTAGGACGTCCTTCAGTATACCATGATTCCTCCCTTCCCCTTTCAATATAGGACAACCAGGCGGTCAACATGTCTTCATCACTTTGTTGTCGATATTCCAGTTAGGCATTTGAACTAACTGGTTAGCTTTGACTTTCGTAACGCGTACAGTAGAGAAGTGGAATAATCTGCCGGCATCTCTAACAGGGCAGCTACCACCTTAAGCTTCCTCAACACTTACCACAAAGTGGGATTATTTTCAAATCTACCAAGTGGGATTAAAGTCAAGCATTGGCTAATAACAAGTAAAAAAATGGTTTTGTGTGTTTGACGTACATCTTTAACAAAGAGCAAAACAGAGGTCATACATAATTCCTCCTTGTGTAGAGAGTTGTAGACTAACGTTAAAATTTGTGTTAAAATCTATATATATATATATATATATATATATATATATTTAGATATATATATTCAAGTTCATTTAGAATAAACCTTCTTTATTAATATTATTGTTGAACGCAAAATAAATGTGCCATTTCAACCGTAAAATTAATGTAATGGTTGGATTGGTACGGGCTTGACCTTAATAAGGAAACCCACAGACTGGTTTCATTTACATGTCACTATTAAATGGTGATACTTATATAATAGCTTTGGTTATGTCTAATTAAATTCACAAAGTCGGTCTGTTGATACGTATACTGATTTAAAAGTGTTATTGAAGACAGACATTTGAGTAAATAAATATGTTCCAGTTGAGCGAATTTACTACGTGTAAAAGTTTACTTGTTGACTTTAACACCCGTATTTATAAACAAGTAAAAGTGATTACTTGAGTAAAAGTAATTACTTAAGTAACGATTTATATTCGATAGTTAAGTAATTGCTCCAAGTTAGAACTGTCAAAAGTTAGAATACTCAGCCAAGTAATAGTCACCATTTCCTTTACTTAAGCACTACTTTGAGGTTATTTTGAATAAAAATGGAAACTTTGGATAACATTGAAACGGTTTTTGGTGTTGTAGACAATATAGATAATATTATATTAGAGGAGATAGAAGTCGCTGAACCTAGAAATCCCAAAGTTTACTTTCGTAATGTGGATCCATTTAGTGACTATTCGGAAGATTGTTTGAAAAAGAGATTTCGTTTCTCCAAAAGCATAGTGATACATGTGATTTTACCGAGAATTACTGACTCTTTACAATCAGAGACACAAAGAGGGCTTCCTATAACTCCACTGTGTCAGTTACTTACTGCTTTACGTTTTTATGCCACTGGAAGCTTTCAGATAGTATGTGGAGATATCATGCATATTTCTCAATCGACTGTGTGTAATATAGTGAAAAGAGTTAGTCGAATATTTGTAAATTTGAGGAAAACAAAGGACGATTTTGAAAAGCTTGGTTGCATTGGCAGAGCACCTGGACTGAAAAATATTGTGGGAGCAATCGATTGTACCCACATTAAAATCACCAAACCTACAGGTATTCTTCATACAGAGCAGTACCGGAATAGAAAAGGTTATTTTTCATTGAATGTGCAAGTAGTTGGTGGCCCTAATTTGATGATATATGATATAGTAGTTCGTTGGGCTGGCAGCACACATGATAGCCGAATCTTTAGAAACTCACGACTGAATATAAGGTTATGCAATAATGAAATTGATAGGGTGTTACTTGCAGATGGAGGATATCCTTGCACTAGGTAAATAATAATTTAGTAATATTTTTTTATTCTTTTTCTATTTCTTTTATAAATTAGTTGCTAAACCAAACTATCGACAACAGCCAATATTATAATAGTGCTATGTGGTTTTCAAAGCATCATAAATATCTCACTACAATATCGCTAATAAAGAGTTCTTTGTTTCAGACATTTATTGACTCCAGTTTCAAATCCCAGAACTGCACAAGAGGAGAGATATAATAAGGTGCAAATAAAATCAAGAAATTCAGTGGAACGTTTATTTGGAGTATGGAAAAGACGGTTTCCATGCTTAAAAATTGGTTTAGCAACCAAACTATCGACAGCCAATATTATAATGGCTTGTGCAGTGCTTCACAACATTACAATAGAAGCAAATGACTTTTTTGATGTTGAGGACACCGTGGACAGTAATGCTCAGTCTTCTTACACAACAACAACAAGCACAACAGGTACCAGTGATGGTTTGGTACTACGAGCAAATATAATTTCACGCTATTATATGTTTTAAATAAATTATAAAATGAAACCAATATTTTCATTTACATTATATTTTATTTATTTACACAGAAAAAAAACAATGTATAAAAAGGGGTTTCATACTGGTTATTCTTTTTCATATTTTTCCAGAATAGAAAAGGTTATTTTTCATTGAATGTGCAAGTAGTTGATGGCCCTAATTTGATGATATATGATAAAGTAGTTCATTAGGCTGCAGCACACATGATAGCCGAATCTTTACAAACTCACAACTAAATATAAGTTTATGCAATAATGAAATTGATGGTGTTATCCGAAGATGGAGGATATCCTTGTACTAGGTAAATAACAATATAGTAACATTTTTTTATTCTTTTTCTATTTCTTTTATAAATTAGTTGCTAAACCAAACTATCGACAACAGCCAATATTATAATGGCTTGTGCAGTGCTCCACAACATTGCAATAGAAGTAAATGAATTATTTGGAGTATGGAAAAGACGGTCTTCATGCTTACCAATTGGTTGCTAAAGACCAAACTATCGACAACAGACAATATTATAATGGCTTGTGCAGTGCTCCAAAACATTGCAATAGAAGCAAATGACTTTTTGATGTTGAGGACACTGTGTACAGTAATTCTCAGTCTTCTTACACAACAACAACAAGCATAACATGTACCAGTGTTTGTTTGGTACTTTGAGCAAATATAATTTCACATTATTATATGTTATAAATGAATTTAAAATAAAACCAATATTTTCACTTACATTATATTTTATTTATTTACACAGAAAAAACCGACAGGGTTGTTGCATTTCATATTGGTTATTCTTGGTAATGTTTTTCTAATTCTTTTAACTTTATTTGCACTTCAATTTTAAACAAATTTTCTTTGTGTTCGTTCTCTCTCTAAAATTTTCATCTTTAGTTCTTCCTCATGCATTTTTTTCTTAAATTCTAATTCTTCTTCTAATATTTTACACTTTAATGTATCTATTTTATTACTTCTCAAATTTTCGTAATCTTTTAATAGGAGTTTTGAAGTTTATTTCCTTTTCCTCCTGAGAAACTTGTATTGTTTCTTCTTCTGTTTTACACCAAGCTTCATTGTAACTATCGCCTAATAAAACTATATTCCGTGAAAAACAGAAAAAAGGTCACAAAATATAATGATAAATGCCCATACCAACTAATAATAATGAGGCTCTGTTATACATGCCAGGCTTAGTGTTCAGATCACTGAACAATATTTAGGTGAGAGAAGCGGTAAAACCAGTCTGCTGGCGGCCGCAATCGGCTTGGACTGGAGCGGGAGTAAGGGAACGGATCTGGCAACGACAGTACGCGTGGACGCTCATATAATATCATTTTAATTTCAACCTACTGTAACATTTAGTTCCCTATTATACCAGTTTTTATATAAATTTGCAGTCATTTTATTTAGTACTACAACATCAAGAACAAACACTTAGGTAGTTATTTACATGGATAATTCTTACCATCAATATCGCTATCGATATCCACAGCAATATTAGTAAGGATATTTTTATGTATATCCATGACTTTGGAATCGATGTGATCCATATCCACAACAGATGGCCCACTTCCTGTTAAGTGGCGAATATTTTCTTTCGTTTTAGACTCCCTTGCTTTTGCCTTCATAATACCACAGCTTTATTAATTGTTTAGTAGATGCCTGAAACAATGAAACGTATGGGAATTAGATAACTGCCTAATACAAAATCGGCTCACAGAAAAAGACCATGACACACAAATGAAACTACATATCTGTAAATAATAAAAGTATATAAAACTCATTATATTACCTTTTGAGTAACAATAGAGGATTCATTAAATTCCTCCTCTATTTTCTCCCATGACTGCTTCTTTTTTAAAGCACTCGTGGCATTTGTTTGTTTACAGGTTAGGATAGTATCATATTTCTGTATGATATTTAAAAATAAATCCTTTTCCAAACTCGAGAACGGTTTTTTCCTGTCTAATTCAGTCATATTTAGAAAATTTACGTAATTTATGGGAAGTTAATAGAGAAAAATTCAACTCGTCGACAAAACGGTTTAGATTTCAGAGTAAATTAGTTGAGTTGACAGCAATGAATGTATGTATAATCTTTTTAAGTAAAAAATCACGTGTGGGCATATAATCCATGAGTAAAAAGTGACCATTTAAATTTACAAGGGTTTTAACATGTCAAACGTTTTGTTTTCCAAGCATTTTTTTTTGTACCACCAACATTAAATGACAATAATGATATAATTAACTTTTAACAATATAAACTACTTCATTCAACGCTATTGCTATTATAAATATAAAGTAAAGTAATATCAAAGATATTATTACGAGATTTTGTAAAAGTAATCTAGACCTTACGTTTGCCTTTTCATGAAACAAAACGCAGTCACGGAGTGTTGCCACACAGAAACAACCACGAAGCGTCGAACGTTACTTGAGCATTTGCTCAAGTAAGTAACGTGTGTTACTCAACTATAGAATGAGATTTTGTAATTGAGAATTATAACCTTAAGTAATGACTTAATCAAGAAATTACTTAGCAGCAAGTAATTACTTCTTTATAAATACGGGTGTAAGTACTTTCAACCCAAAAAAAAAAACAAGGAAAATATTTTTGACTGGCGTGATATTTATACATGTATGTTAATTACTATGTTCACAATAATTTTAACATTGACGTCACCATAAAATAAATATGGCAAACATGAACTCACAAAAACTTACTACCTTAATAGTCATCATGATCATCATTACAGCCCTTCACAATCATGTCCGCTGTTAAAAATAGGCCTCCTCGAAGAAACGCCACAAAACACGGTCCTAAGTAGATACCGACTGCCTTTGATTTTTGGACCCTTAAATTAATTGAGGTGTAATAGACGTAAGGATAAAATTTATAATATCAGTTAAATATAAATCCAGCCATAAATAAGGTTAATCGTATGAGATACCTCTCCATATCACAATTACGCATCTTTCAATTAATTTATGCGGGCTTCGTTGAATTACAATATTTATAGATGTCGTAGTCAAGCAACGTGTGCACCACAGAAATAGTAATAATAAGACAATAGAAATGAATTAGCGCTCGATTACTTCCAAAATCGATGTCGTCACCTGCAGCCGTATTATAAACATACGCAATACACAATGATATCTAATGTTTCACATTACGAGTACATTGCTTGGCGAATTTGTCAACGTCGCGTATTACTGTAGAACAAAAGCAGCAATGGTAATTGTCAACACAAAAAGTAATAAATGAAAGTTTACAAAGGTAAATATCATAGTAAAGTATTCACCTAGATGTAAATTAATTAAAACAATTATAATTACTAAATTATACACTTACTGATGAAATTTTATGCCTTTATTAGTTAAATTACACGTCTTTGACGAGTTTTTACTACTTTTTTTTACTATTATGCTGCAGTTTACCAATATAATAACATAAAGTCAAGTACGCCGTTTCTCGTGCAAAGTAATCACAAATGGCGCATCATCCTTTTTTTCTTTGCTGCGTTCGTCAACACATAATAACAGCGACCATGCGACTTCTATTGTCATATTATTACGATTTTTGTGGTGTGCACGTAATGTTAGCTAGTAACTAGCTGAACCCGGTAGACGTTCTGCAAGTTAATAGCATAGGTTGTGTTCAGTAACGTTTATTTTTTATTTTAGCGCATGCAATTTAATTAATATTAATTGCCGCGCTTGATTGAAAAAAGCAAATAAAATAATAATTCTAAATTTAGTTTTTACTAAAAAAATTTTTAATTTTTATTAATTTCTCCATTGGAAAACACACACACACACACACACACACACACACACACACACACACATATATATATATATATATATATATATATACAAACATCGTTTTTTATATTACATTATTTATATAACAAAATGACAAACGAGCTGCCAGTCCTGATAATAAGTACATACTGCAGCCAGTCTTTCAAACAACAACTATTTTTTTATAGAATAGTAGGGGCAAGTAAACCCATGAGCAAATTAACGAGCGTTAGGGTAAACTTGCCTTTTAAAGGCCGGTACAGTAAAGCTCGTTCAGTTCAGTTCAGTTCGATATTAATTAATTATTAGTAGTGTAAAAAAATTACATATGAGAAGAGTTTTAGGTGATTAAAGATTGTAATGTATTAAATATATTACGCTCTGGAAAACGTACTGATTCCAAGTTATTGTTGAGTGAATGGTGGTAATTTTAAGTATATTTTGTATAGTATTGTATAGTAGTGCCGAAATTCAACGGAACTGTGCGAACTTACTAATTTTAAAGTTTAATTTTTGTACTTTATTTAACATTAGAAAAATATATTGGGTAACTATTTGCGTAATTAGTGTATCCTTCTCTCTTCACCGGTTGAGCCAATTCCTTTGTGCTAGAGCAATAATAATCCAGCAGTGAATACCCAGACTGGCGCGGCGAAGGGCAGCAGCGGCAATGGTTAAATATGTCCGGTACTGCGATCGTCAATCCAACTTCCAAACGTGACTATGTAGGCAAATCTTTCTTACAACGGGAGAAGACGACAAAGAAGTGTTTATTTAAGTATGAAATTTTTTTTGTTATTGTGTTATTTAATTTTATCGAAAATGGTAAAGTAACATAATGGTCTTAATTCATGCAACTGTACTTCTGCCAACGATTTATTGCGGCATTTCAAAGAGCACGAGGGATCTGTGACAGAAAACATCTGGCCGCCGAGCTTCAGCACGTCAAGCAAGTATTGCAAGACAACAAGCTTCGGGTCTCGCGTCTACGTCAAGTCGGCCACAGTCGAGCGTGTATCTGCTGTACTACCATATGTCAGAGGAGTCACAGACAAGGTTGGCGACATCTTGAAGCGAAGCTCGCTTAAAACATACTACAAGCCGCCGAAGAAGATTAGTCAATTTTTACCATCCGTCAAGTGTAATATGCCTCTACAAGATGCAGGAGTGTACAAGTTAGATTGTGAATGTTGTCTCTCTTACATAGGTCAGACAAAAAGATCCATAAAAACCCGCTTGAAAGAACAATAGCTGAAGTGAAGCACCGACAATCCGGGAAGTCTGCAGTGTGTGAACATGTTCAACACGTCCCCACCATTACATTCGATTTGATAAACCACAAATCCTCGCAAAAGAATACCGATTCCTATCAAGGATGATACGTGAGGCTATTAATATTAAAAAACATACAAATTTCAATAGAGAAGATGGATGGGTGCTGCCAACAGCTTGGGATCCTATAATTAACAAAATTAAACCCAAACCTAAGCATAACACTGCAATACTTCATGATACTATAAGCTCGTTTTGCGTAAATCGGACCAAAAATTAATATTCAAAAACTGAAGGTAGCTGGACTAACTATGATATTGGAACGTCAAACATCTCAGTCCCCCCCCCCCGTGACCATGGGTGCTGTAAAGCACCCGTAACGTCGGGAATTAAAAATAAGTAAAAGTAGTGAAATAAACGCGATAAATTCCGTAAATTTAGTTTTATTCAAGACGAAATTAATTTAAAAAAATATCTCTTTACTATAGCAGTTAATGTCTACACTCAAAACCAAATGGTTTTTACTAAATTACCAAATACTTTTTGATAACCCAAGATGTTCGTCAGACTTCTGTGCTTAATGAGATTTTAAACGCTTGAAACTACTTATTACGTACTAATGACAATATCCAGGGGGAAATGGACATGAATAAAATTATTCCGCAAAAATATCTCTCTACTATGACGTATCGTACTCCTGGATACGTACTTACAACAAAAATAAAAGTGTGGACGTTTACGCCTAATGGAATAATAATGACACGGATTGAAGTCAAACGGAGGCCTGTGACGGTGCAAACGGTTTGTGTGTTTGTATATTTAAGGCATTTAAATGGTTAATTTAAACAAACCTTTTAATTCGTCAATGTCCCTTGAAAAAATAAAAGCTTGGAAAAGGAATCTTCATTCAATTCACACTCTCAACACGTTCCAAATATAAAAAGTAAACGAGATGATTGCTCGCTAACACGCTGATTTATTTCCTCTACTTATCCTTCGTTCATTAACAGCGGGCAAGTATTTTAATTAGCAAAAACCAGAAGAGCCAGGTCTCTAGACAGTTGTATCGTGAAGCTGACAAGTCGACAGTTTATTGTGCTACTCGAATGAGATGTTCGATCACATCGATCACAGTACGTAAGTACAATTGAGGTTTTTATTCGCAGGGTTCCAATTTTTTTAGTTATATAATTAAAAATACTACTGCCATTAAATTTCACTTGTATAATATAAAAATTGGCCGATTCGGAGTTGGCAAATTATAATATGAAAGGCAATAATATAATATGAAAGGAAATGAAAAATACTCTTAAATATATATTGAATATACTAACATAAACAAATAAATAATACATAAATAAATTAAAGCCCAACCAGATAGTAGCTCTCGGCAGGGGTGTAGTTTAGCCCCCGCGACATTATATATTTGTGTTAAGAGGGCACATGCGTCTCGCGTCGAAAACTACATGTTTTAGGGTTTTTCCAAAGGCGATATCGTAACGATGTGAGGAGCTTATTCGCAGAAAATAAGGGCTTTACAAAGATAAAGTCTTTTTTTAGTGCATTGCAATGCCAAATCATAGTTTTTAATGACGGTTTTTTAGGGCGGAGACAATCCCTTCACAGCGTTTTACGAAAATATGTGTCAGAGTTAGCTTTCAGGTGGAATACGACCATTATTATAAGCTAAAATACTTTATTTTAAGCATTATTATAAAGGAATATACATGATTAAAACTACTTTTACGGATTTTATCGCGTTCATTTTTACTTTTTATTTACTTTTATTTTTAATTCCCGACGTAGTTTCATCCGACAAAAGTACTTATCGAAGAGTCAAAATAGACTCTACACCTAATACGCTTAAAACAACTAGCGATCTAATTAAGAAATACTCCGAAAA